CACTTCCCATGAAACAAGATTAGATCAACCACAACAGACCGGTCGACCAATAAAATGTGAAGACTGTTGTAGGGCAGATCGGATGTGTGGTCATCTTGATCAATGGTACCATGGCATAATCCTCTGACCATGATAAAATATTTGTACATGTAGATTATAGACTGGTTCGCATTTGAAGTCGTATTAAGGCCTGCCTACAATGTACATGGATGTTGTACACTCATTTAAAACGTGATTAATTAATTCAACCTTTAGACACTTCAAATTAAGCGTGATGTTGCTAAGCACCACCAGCTGGTGTGTATCCTATTACCAAAGATGCACGTTTTTATGCGTGATGGATTGTACAGTGTACAATTTCATGCTTTGTCTACCTTGTAGAGTTGTAGACCCCTCGTTCGTTTGGTTTTGCCCTTCACTGACGCATAAACACTGTACATTCAGTGGGTTACCCCCCCCCCCTCCACCCCAGTGCAAGTGAGAATAAAGCACTCGGGTGGGACTCGAACCCACGACCTCCTGCTTTCTAGTGCAGACGTCTTACATGCACCATGTCGACCACACAGCTTGCCGGGATCGGCTGGCTTGTTTCTGGAATCTGAAGTAGCAGTGGGCACCGCTATGGAATTTGCGCATTGGTGATGTAAATTGCAATAAGGTTTTGCCCTGCAAAGTTCACCGCTGTATAAAAACAGTGTGTTTTTTCCCCAATGATGTCGGCAGGAATGCATAAAACAAAAACAAAATACCGTACAGGTTGCTCATGGCCACCCTGACACTTTGAACTTACAATTCATAAAAACAATTTCCCTGTTAAGCTTTGTGCATGAATCATCCAGCAATTGCAGTATTGCTCTTTTTAAACAATGGTGGTTCAAGGATTACGTACTACAGGTAGGCCTACTGTCTAGGTACCAGCAAACCAGTACGGACGTGTGCATAATTGTACATCGTTTGTTTTGTTGAACAAAATGCACGAATAAAACAAGATCCAATACACGTACATATAGTAAGTGGGGAGCAGCCATGTCAGTCAGGCAAATAGATAGCATAACCCTCCTGCTATTTAAACAGTCACAAGCAGTCAAAATGTCCTTCCTCTTCCCCTGCTATATACTTTCAACACAGGCTAGTCACCAGCAGTCAGAACATGTCAAGCAAGCACTGTGACTACATGTATAGTCAAACTCCGTCAACAGACCATGAACTGATGAACAGCTAAAGCAGGCAAGTCGTGAGCACAGCAGCTAATTAAGCAGGCAACTGGCAAGTCGTGAGCACAGCTGTCACATCAATTACCCACAGTCACAGCAAAGCTGTATCAAGTTACTGAAACAGTCCCAGCCAGTCAATCCTGCTTTATGTAGGCTGGGAATTATTAACATTTTGAAAACAGTCACTTGATTGATTTTGACTGAAAAGACTATTTGGCACAGAAGGTACATGCATGTATGTTTGCATAGGAGGGTTAATAACCGACAAATAAATAGTACACGTATACATGTACATGTATGTAAAAGTTTGCATTAATTAGTTTCCATAACTACTGTACGTCATCAGATGAGTACATACTGGTACAAGTATACATGTACAGTACATGTATGTGCAGACCTAAACAGAGGACCTGCCAACTTTAATTTAACATGTACCGGTACACTGTACCTAGTTTTACTCTTGTTAGCCATTAAAGCATTAACTTACTTCTATATGCAAATACGTGTACATACATTTACCATCCATGACTCAGCGTGCAAACTAATGACATTATTGAAAGCTGGTTGAGAATGAGGTACATGTACATGTACATGTATGGACATGTGTATATTGTTTGTACAGTGATCAATGGATTGCCAACATGTAGGTACAGTATATGAACAATGCATTCATGTCCCTCATTTGCATCAACTGATGATAGGCACTATATGAGTAAATGTGCTGTTATTTACATGCACACCTACTGGTAGAGTACCAGTGTACATGTACACACAACAGCCCAAGTACTCCTCCCTGTCTGTCAGATGAAAGACAACCTCGCAGACAAAGGCAACATCCTGTGATGACCAAACAGGATGCATTGTGGATGGATAATAACCATAATAGCTCCTGTATGTACATGTACAGTAGATGAATGTACATGTACATACAGCTGCAACCTTCTTCAGTTCTGTACCTTGTCATTGCCGGGGAGTGGATCAATTCAAAACCAAGAAGGGTGCAGGGACTGCAGGGGGTACACCGGGGTGTACACAACTTTGAATTACTCATACCATGGAGGAATTCCTCCATGCTCATACCCATACTTGACCTGTACTAGTTCGGGGTACGCACGGTACCGTGTGTGTATATTGTATAGCAAAGTACTCGTATACCGTACTCGTGGCAAAGTACTCATACTCTTGAAGAAGTACAATGTACTCTTGGAAATGCGCTCCAATCCCACTAGAAATTTCTACTGTTTTGGATTTTGGAAGGCTTTTGCATTTGTTTAGCTTGACAGTAAAAAAAGGCTTGAGTCTACCGGTACATGTATATGCTCATACTCATAAAAAGAACTTGTAATCTTACTCATGGGAAATAAAATTGCCTTGTACTCAAACTCATAGCAAAGTACATTACTCATACAACACTTGTACAAAAGTACTACATGTACATGTACATGTATATATTGTAGCACTGTACAGCAATGTAAAATATAGTCGAGTCAAGCTATTCAAATGAACCGTGGCGAAGGCATCCTTTGTTATTGTTATTGCTCATCCCCTGTTAATCGTGACTGGTCTTGTGATCAGACATGTGACTGGACTAGTGATGACAGTACGTACACATGTATATACACAGTACACATTCATACATGTGAAACAGACAGGCGCATGTGGAATGTTATTTCATGTCTGCTGAAAATCTTGATAAATTTTCATGTCGTGCATGTGTAAGGACATTCCTGGTTGGCCAGCCAACACAATCGTCACAGATACATGTACTCGCCTAGAATTCTGTATCACCCTCAAGAAGGATATTAATATGGAAATTCTCAATGCTGTGTACAAATGTACATGCAGGCAGGGACACCCAATATGAAGAGGAAATTGAATTTTGGCCTCACTGATGCTCAGGTAAAACTGAGTGTTGCCATGTACATGTACGTACACGCACGTAAATCAAGGATTTTCTTTGGTTCCTCTTTCCTTTTTCTTTGTTACACGTTTTCTAATCGAGGTTGTCCTCGATTTGGTTCCTAACCTCGATTCACCGATGATGTTGCACGTGTGTGTCCTCGATTTACACCATAAACAAACGCACACACACATACAAATTACACATATGCGGATGTCAGCATGACAAAAATCTTTGAGAAACATGACTATATTACATTGTCATACCTCTGTCTTCAATACTGCATTTTCATTGGCCTACATGTAGAACGATCACGTGTTAAGTTTATAAAAAGTCATATCACGTTCGTGATATCCCACAGCATACTGTGCTGTTCACTCGAAACACAGAAAGTAAGAAAACACAGAAAAAAATGGGTGAGTGGGTGTGTACATTTTTTCGTGTGTTTGCTCTAAATTTTTTACAGGGGTGATGGTCAATTATTTCTTTTCTTTACTTTTTTTTTCAAAGTGAATCAACTGTTCATTCTGCGCTTGCTGCGCTGTCTATAGGCCTCATGGCGGGGCAGGCCAACATACCTGACCAACTTACTACAATGAAATAAAAAAAAATTCTAAGAACGCTGGACGATGTCCTCAAAAACTAGGGTGGGGCATTTCCATAATTATTTAACATATTTTTTCAAGTAGGACACGCAGGTGATTTCTTTTTGGCCTAAATACACACATACCGATATACATACATTGTATGTTTTTGTTTGGTAACAAATTTCAAGTAATAATATCGGATATAGCGCAAGTATCTACCAACAATTAGGTACTCAAAGCGCTGGAGATTATGTCTAAAATATTATGAAAGAAAGGTAAATAAGGTTTATGAGAAATTTGAGACCCATTATGTAGCACCTTAAGTTATAATGGTTTACAAGATGCTGTGGCGCATATTGCAGCCACTGCCAGAAACACCGGGGCAAACCCCTTCTGCTAACGATAAGTGTTACTGGGTTCTTTAACGTGTATTACACAACACACGGGACCTACGGCTTTACGTCCCATCTGAAGGACGGAGCAATAATGGTAAAGTGCCTTGCTCAGGAACATAAGCACCATGTTCCCACGGTCAGGATTCGAACCCATGTACCACGGCAAACGAGTCAAACACTGTCACCATTGGACCACAGCACCCCCATAAGTCATACCATGGATCCTCTACACAAGGATAAACGACTCATCTGAGCTTGTGTACAAATGTACGGAACCGTTTGTCTACATATGTGATATGCCGCGTCCGCGCATAGAACAACGCATAGAACATGTAGAACAATGCTCGCGTGCCATGATCGCCAACAGCTGGCGTCCCGACAGAAATGTGACCACTGAAAGACTGCAGCCTCAAAAATAGTTTTTATTGCTCAAAATCACCTTTACAATCAAAAGCAGACTTTTCTCAATTCTAATGACACCCGTTTTGCAATTTTGATTGAACAGATTCTTGGGGTAGAAATCATGATTCTTCTGCGCGGTTTGTGTCTTGCGATACAGTGCGCCATGCATGCTCACAGTACATCACGCGGTGATCGCCATCTTTATTTTCGGGACGCGTGTTGTCGCCATGCTGTCATCATCATTTTACCCCCAAATTTCCCTCAAAAAATCAAACATACCTGTTTATTGAGAATGTCACCAACTAGTTTGGTAGGTCCAATAATTTTAAAGTGGATTTTGTTCCCTTATAGGAACCGGGCCCTACACAACATGATCGCCAAAAACAAAGGGTACATAATGTGCAAAATACTCATAACAGGTTAAATTTATCAAATTTACCTGGATGTGACAAAAATAAGTCCCTTGCATTTTTTTTCTGTTAGAAATCCCGCAACAAACTACCTTGTGTGTGGTATACCGGTGCCTCCTTGTAGTATTTTGTACAGTTTGCTTTCGTATAGAAGTTGCGGATGCCTTGCTTTTACAGCTTCAAGTTTCACCGCAACCTCCTGTAACGAAAATACACAAAAGAAAATGTCTTCTTAATTGATGTTAATTCTTCTTAATAATGTCCAACACAGAACTATAGTAAGGGAATTTTACACACTCTGTTAAAGACTGGTTGGAGTAAAGGGCGGAACCAGAACACAATTTTGATCCCCCAAAAAGTGGGTCCAAAAATTGCGGTGTGGGGTTCGGAGCCCCGAAACACTTTTGGATTCTAGATGCTCTGTGGTGCGACATGAGGCAATTTCTGAACACTTTAACCAATTTTATTTTTGGAAAAGTATATGCAGTGCCTGCCTTTATTGCAAAGTAACTTAAACAAAATTTAAAATTGGGTTCGTTTTGGAGGGGGAGGGGGTAATGACAGCAGTGATAAAATCCCATTACGGCTGCCGTAACGATATCCACTATGTAAATAAAATACATAAGCTTTGTTTATGTTATATGGAACAAAGAAAAGTGATGAGGATGAACATTGCAATAAATATATATTTTAAGTTTTACCTATTTTACCTACTTCCATTATGATTCCCATATCTGGCCATTAGTAGTTTTTCCCTTAAATGACCTATCACCCATCAGAAAGTGATAACATACATGTCCTAGAAAGTCAACATTAGCAAGGACAAATTTTGAATTTTTACTGAGAAAACACACATTTTCAGACCAGTCCCATAGGGTTTGGGCACAGGGTGACAAGTGATGGCTAGATATGGAAATCTTTTCCTAGTAAAATGTACTCCTAGGGCCTACATAAAAATAAGCGTTATTACTATATTATTAGGTAAGGCTTAATTTGACGTCACTGTAGAGCAACAACGGCCAAGCTTAAACATTGTTTCATTCATGGATGGATCAAGGACAAAAAATTCCAAAATGTCCAAGTTGTCATTCAGTACTTTATTTTGTGTAGCAATGGCAGCTGTGTTCTGGTGTTGATAAGTCTGTGTTTATTTAATGTTCATTCATTTCTTAGTAACTGTAGGCCTTTGTCATGTTTGTCATCAACATTGTTTGTCATGGGCCAAGTTCGGGCAAGGACCATTAGTCGACTAGTGGTTGATTTGTGACGTACCTTACGCCTGCGCACTGATAAAGTGATAGCAACGTGCGAACGTCTCTAGTCAAACGCTGGTCAAAATGTCATCGCAAAACTTCTGGATGCTGGCTCACTGCTTGCGTTATGAATGCGCGCGGCTATTGGTTACCAGCGAAGCAACCAACCCCAGTAGGCTGGTTCCAAATAGTCGACTAGCGTAGTCAACCACCGTCGACTAGACAGAGTTCGGGCAAACGTTAGTTAACCATTGGTCAACTATAGTCCTTGCGCGAACTTGGCCATGTTTGTAGGCCTATTGTTTTAATGTATCCTCGTGTGACCATTTTTCACGCACTTAGTTAGTACTTTGACCGATTTTTTTCTTGCAAAAACTAAATCCTACACAGTTATGGACTTTAATATTGTAAGAATGACTAATAAACTACATGGAAAAATAACCAAGAACGTCGTCGTCTGCAGATGAGTCAAATTGGCTGCCACGAAAGTTTCGTGCCCATAATTCGCGCACGAACGGAAAACGTCATTCCTCGGAGTCTCCATTGTGTCCTACTTCTTAAAACAATGTGGAATCGATGTTTGTTGAATAAAGGATAAGTTTATGTGCACAACTTTGGTCTCTAGTTTGATAAACTAACTTTCATTTGCCATCCGACATTGTTACTAAATACACGTTTAAATGAAATAAATGAATTTCTTTCGATTTCAGTAAAAACAACTGCATGCAAAATATTTAAAATCATGGCCTAAATTACATAAAATTATAGTTCTACAAATCTCAAAAAAGGAAAACAGTTTTCTATTTCTCTAATATTAATTTTTTTTTAAAGGTAATTAATTAATGATTAAAACATTCCAACATTTACCTCCCCGTTTGTTATGTTGATGCCCAAATAAATATCACCGAACGACCCGCTGCCGATTTTCCTCACAAGTTTGTACCTGCCACCAACCATGAATTCTGAGCTGGATTTCGCACTTGTCGTCATGGTGGCCAAACAATAGTCCGCCCAAGAATGGGGACAAACTCAGCCACTTCGTCAGTTCGGTGAAGAGTTCTATCTGGCGGGGTTAAATAAAAAAATAAGGGGGAAATATTTCAGGACGTGAGTCACAGTAGAGTCGTCTGTAGGTTCGCCATTTTCACTCGTATGCGATTTGCCATTGGTTTGCGTACATCTGCTATATAGCCGGACAGCTGTGTGATAATGTTATGGAGATGAAATAGACGTCCTAACACAATGAAGTTACGCAGTGCATTGTGGGAGTCTGCCCTGCCGAACTCCCCTCCCGATCCCTGTTGCTACGGGCAACTAAATTTGCATACGGGAACGCCCAAATCGCTTAGTTTCTCGGGGATGAGGGCGCCATTTCAATTTTTAGATGGATGCGTGATTGGGTTTGGGTATGGATAAATTTAATAAGGAACTACAATTAAAGTAGTTATGACCTGCCAGCAGTGTGACTGTGCTCAAAATCCCCATTAAATAATAAAATTCCCCGTAAATGAATCATGGGAGAAAAAATTATTTTGAACACAAAAGGAAGTAGTATCTTGACCTCCTAGTCAAGATCCCTAGAGGATGTTTCAGGAGGAAACCAACCAAGTAAGTAAATACAAGTAGTGCTACTTTATCCAGTCTTTCCACACAAAAAATATCGACGCTCAAAATTTTGTCACATGGTCCGCAATGAAACAGAAATCACATCCGGTATGGAATGTGCGCAATTCTATGTGGGTTTTCGGATAGCATTTGCGCACATTGTCTAACTGCGGTCTTGAACAGCTGCAGCCAGATGCTTTATACATAGGTCATAGGCCACTTCCTTCACAAGATTCTGTGAAGCTCATGAGAGTATCCCAGCGTCCTGTTTGCAGGGCGGGGTACGGGCGAATTTAAGAGGCTGGTACCATCTGTCGGTGGAGGCGCTGTTCAAAACCGATCATTATTAATATTTACACTAACGGACAATATATGGGGCTATTCAAGGCGATACGGTGCGTCAAATTAACCAACAAATAAGGGCACCCGAACGGCCGCTGGCACACAAAGGGCACAATTCTTTTTTAAAAAGGGCACTCGTTCAGAAAAAAAGGCACTTCTTAATAAAAAAAGGGCACTCCTACAAAAATATTGGGTGGGTAAGCGCCGATGAACCCCCCCCCCCCCCCCCCCCCGGCTACACCTATGAATTTGGGAAAAGAAAATTCGCAGCCCGTGCATGAGGCAAAAGGCGAGGTTTATGGCCACTGACGGTACGGTAAGGCTCATATCATCGCTTTTTGCTCACGAAGTGTAGTCTATACCCGTACCCCCCGCCCTGCAAACAGTTTGCAGGGCGGGGGGTACGAGCGAAGGGTGATATTGGTTGGTCGTGATAGCGCCCTCTCGCGGCAGAGGTTTATCGCTGCGGTGGGTTATAGCTTTTTAACGATCGAAGTGACAAAAAAACAACCCAAACGGGTAGAAGCCAAATCACAACGAAAATTAATCTCCATAGACTGTAGTCTGGTTCCCCGACCTGATAATTTCCCCCGACGTCCACACGCCTTAATTGTAGGTCAGACAGCCTCCGTGGCTAAAAATAAACATGACGACATTGATGGCCCTTTTTAAAGTTCGGCTTCCTTTCCGAATTCGCTTTGACACTTAAAGCCAGTTTTAATGTTCCGATCCAATTTTTACAATAAGTCACTGGCTTCATACAGTTATGATATACAGTTTTACACTCCTGTAAGAAAACATTGACTAATTTTGACCTGGAATCTTCAAAGTTAGACAAACAAAATAGCACTGTTAGCAGGCGGAGCCAAATGGGACCACGCCGAGTTTTGGGAAACGCCGGTAACTGTCGTCAAATTCAAACTAGTACATGACGCAGCAAAAATTTCGCCTCTCGTATACGATCCGAGTACAAAATCGTCGTTGAATTTCAAGTTTTCTAAATAAAAGCAATGGACATTAATAATCAACTTGTTTTTTTAAGTTTATAATAAGCAATTAGCAGTTTATTAAATGTATATTATACTCGGAAACTTTACTCGGGCACTATCCGATTGTCGACGAAATGAATTCGGCAAACTTAGGACATTTTCGGAAAAAGGAGGAATTCCTCCCGTTTTAGTCACGTGACGTAAATTGTAATACAGTGTATTACCGGAGGCTACTGGACCTAAGATATTCATCAGGAATAGTCAAAATCTTTTGGTCTGGGAACCAGACTACATAGACTATGTACAAACGTGGAACAAACGCGCGCGTACGCTGGGGCCGTATCAGAAGTCCGACGCCTCATAGGTCCGACGCCTCTTAAGTACGAAATTTCAGACTTATGAGGCGTCGGACTTATGAGACATAACATTGATTTATTCCGCCTCATAGGTCCGACAACTCATAAGTCCGACGCCTCATAAATCCGACGTCGGAAAAACGAGGCGTTTAATTTGTCGGACCTACGAGGCGTCGGACTTATACGGCGTCGGACTTATGAAGCGTCGGACCTATGAGGCGTCGGACTTATGAGCGGACCCTCGTACATGTATGCTTGGCAGATTGAGCAAGACAAGTCTGGGTAGCTGCATCACCAGTCGACTCCATGGGTTCGTGGCGTTCCATAATTCCTGAGGAATGCTGAGCGCTGATTTGATTAAGGGAAGAGCATTTAGCGAGAGAAAAATTCTTCCTTCACCATGAACTTTCTAATCGCAAATATCAACGACACTTGTCACGAACAGACAATGGCAAGCGTGCAACAAAAACTTGTTATTTGCAATTCCGGTGAATAAAATTATTCGTTTGGGTTTTTCTTTTCTTTTTCTAAGCGTCATATTTTAATGTCACCGACAGTCATCACAAAAGGAGGTTAGATTGAATATCTTCATATTAAATACCATCATTCCCATCCATGACCGTAATCCCCGAAAACGGGCAACATAAAGGACTTATCTGTCATACAATTTGAAATATGCGGGAAATATAATGGAAGGGATACGCTCTTATATGTTCTCCCCCTCTGACGCGTTGATCCACCTTTTAAGCTCTCAAAAATCCTACATAACTCGCACAAACGTAATTGGTCAAATTGTCCTAAAGAAGTTGCATGTAAGTGGTTTCAATTTCTTTTTGTGCTTTTGCAAACGGTCCTACGCAGAGCGGGTCTCTCCAGATTAGCGAAACGCTAAGGGACTCACCTGCAGTAATTGGATGAGTTATGTGAGCCATCTAAGGAAAGAATCATGCGTCCTTCCCATTCTTATGTTTTAATGTTCCTGCAGGAATGGTTTGCATCTACTCTCATGGAATGTAATGTCGTTAGCTGCCGCCACCAGCCTAAATATAACTTCCAAAAGTCTATTTCAAGGGCTTTTTCTATGTAAAGCACGCTCATTGTGAAACTATGCCTATAGGCCTACGCAAAATAAATCCGACCATGCACTGGCGTCCATGGGCACATCTCCTTTCAGGAAATGTTTTTTAATGGCAGGAAGACATGTCTCTTGACAAAGCCGAAATTATTGTTAAAGGGAATATACATCATTTGCTTTTGCTGTAATTTTCAGAAATGGATGGAATTGGGGGGTTGGAAATATATAGCAAATATAGTTACACTGATTTTTTTGAGGTTTTGGGTTCAAAAATGCTATAAAAACAAAGAAAAACAATCATTTTCCTGTAGTCTGGTTCCCTGAATCAATTTAAAAAGAAACAGAGCAGTTTACATACATTGGGGAATTGTAAGGTCAGGGAACCAGTCTAGCTGGCTTGTACCGTTCATAGGTGTGTAATCGATTGCAAACAAGTGCGATGGTCATTTGGGGCCAGTATTTGAAAAAAAGCCAGTTGTTTCCAACGCTGATCGGCCGATCAGCGTTGGAAATTGATAAAAAAAATACCACTTTTCTTAAAAATGACAGTATACCAGTTGCCATGATTTTACAGGATGCTTTACACTGTCATTCAATAACAGTCCAGCAAGGTATTTCAAAATGATTTTGGTAGTTTTATTTTTTGATGTTTGCAAATGTTGTATTTTCTCTTTAATATTGTCTCATCTTGATGGTACAGCCAGAAGCCGCTCTTTGTGATATCACGTTTCTTTCTGTGTGTCCATATGTAATGCCCGGAAATCCATTAAATGCATTTCGTTGGGCTTCAATATTTTGTTCATGTTCTGTTCCACTTAGTTCAGTGGACCATGTATAATCTGATGTTCTATCGAAAAGCATTGGATGTTATCATATTGCAATATGATAAACATGCAATGCTATTCGATAGAAAATCAGATTATATTGCTTCATATTGTCATAGGCTTTTTAAGCTGTAGGCCTATGTAATCTTTTTTTTTATTCAAGCTCTAGAAACTTGGACTGCTCGACTTGTTCCGATCTGTCCCAATTGACGTATGTTTACTCTTGACAGGCGCAGATCTAGAGGGGGGGGGGGGGGTTCCCCGGGCCCCCGCTCTGTTTTGTTTTGTTTCATACCCCCCCCCCCCCCGCTCCTATACACCCAAAAATTTCCTACACCCATAAGTCCGAAATTTCGGACTTATGAGACGTCGGACCTATGAGGCGTCGGATGTATGAGCGGACCCCGATTTTACGATAGTCAAGTGTCAGAAAAAACCCAACCTGTCTATATTTCAGCATAAACCCCCTGCAAAAATGCTGCTCTTGCTATACAGATTACTGCAGGTCTTAGTCTTTTAACCCTCCGGCGCAGAATCTAGCCCTTTTGGGGACCCAATTGGGTTAATTACCTTAATTTAAAAAAAAAATTCAAACCAATTCTGGTGATCTTCCATCTAATCCTAGCAAGAGACACCCTCTACGGATATATGCAGTCACCTTTAGTGTGTGACCCCGGGTCAGGCATATCTGAGCATGACAACCTGGGCTAAGGACCGATGCAATTTCTGCCCATCCGGGGACCCACCATATACACGCGCACAAAACAAGGTCACTTGCGAGTAGACAGTGCACGGCTTGACCACAGACTATGTATACAAATACACCTCCTTAGTCTACAGACATGGCAAGATTGTGTTCATGTGGATACAGTGTTGTGTAGCCTCAAACCTTGGCGCTAAATATTTGGGTCCCCGGGGGACCCCTTACTGTAAGGGTGTTACTAAATGGGCTTTCTGCGTCGGAGGGTTAATTATGTATATGAAGTCTATTTTGTCACTAATTCTTTTGGTAAGTGCGTTTGATTTTCAGCCAGCAAAAGTGTATTTTGTTCCACTTTCACACAGTCCTGGAATT